TGTGTGTGTGTGTGTGTGTGTGTGTGTGTGTGTGTGTGTGTGTGTGTGTGTGTGTGTGTGTGTGTGTGGCTGTGACGTGGGAGATGGTGGTTGTGAGTTGTCTAGATCACGACCTCGGGTGCTTTCATCTGCCTGCATGGCTCTGTCGACATGGTGGATATATACATTTTTAACATTTCAGGAACCAAAAAGCACACTTTTGATCCAACAGAATATTGGTGTGAATACAGTCTGGTGACGGAGAAATTACCTCTTTAGATGATGTTAAATACCAACATTTGACCAACATGAAGTCATGTAGCATGGTAGCACTAAATGGGTTTTTGCATCAGTGCTGGTTATGCTGCCATCACATAAACTCCAAGGTAAATCATATATGTTTGAACAGTTTGTTGTGTTTCTTGAGGCTTTGTTCTGGCTTTTTTGACCCAGTAAAATAACATAAAGCGAAAAGAACAATATAGAAGCGTATGTGGCTCTGTTGTGTTAATTGATTTGATTCATTCTCAAAGTCAAGAAAATCTTGAGAAGAGAAAGTGTAGATAATCATTATGGGCATGGAAGCCATGAAATAAATTCTACCTTTACAATGTATTTAAAAAAATATGAAATTCTAAAATGAGCAGTAAGAAAGTACACATTTGCATTAATAAGAAGAGGGACTGGAGGGAAATAAATGAATTCTTACATCTCTACTGCTTCCAGCATCCACAGCTTGTGCCTTCACCTTTTTTGTTTACCGAATAAATCTGTTTCCGTTCCTGCCTACACTTCAGGCATCTTTGTATGCGTCTCCGGCTTTGATGAAGTGATTAGCACCATGCTGTTACCCTTAATTGACTGGCATCAAGGAGAGAAGGAATGAATATTAGGAAGCCCGGCTGAAAGATGGAAGACAGGGGTCACAAATTGCAAATAATTTTGTGAGTCCTGTGCTTATTCGGGGGTAGCAGGAGTCACATGGCATATGGTGTTGTTGTTTTTTTCATTAGCAAAAAAAAAAGGAGGTAGATGTTTGGAAAATTAGTCGAAAATTTAGGCCAGCTGCATGCTCCGCAGGAAGAAATGGCATCAATTAAATATAAGGGAGAAAAGTGAGTGCAGGAGCTGTACTTGTATACCTGCATTCATTAGAAAGTAAACCTTTTTACTCCACTTAATGCAATTGTGTTGTCTTGATTTCCTAATGAGAGGTTGTACTTGAACCATTAAAGGACTGTTTCTTTGTCTGCTTTTCAGCATCTGGATGAGATATTTTTGCTGCCCTCGCTTCAGGCAGCTATTTAATGCTATTAAGGCTCTGATGAAGTGATTAGCAGCATGCTGGCTCAAAGACAAAGAGACTAAGCAGGGAACTGTGATAAATAGCAAAGGTCAGATTTTGAGATTTTGATTAAAATAAATATATGGATCCTGAACTGGATAAGCAGAGGAAAATGGATGGATGATTTTAAGGCTTCACATTTTGTTCAGTGTCATTTACTTTGAAAAAAACACTTCACAGTTAGAATATAACAAAACTATTTTTCATATTAATATGCACTAAGGAATATGTTAATAAAAACACAGGGTTATTATTATGTCTGTAACACCACCCAGAAATCCAAAGGCCTTCATTCAAATTAAGCAACCATTTGGATTTTCCCTTTAAGTGTATCAACCATGTTGGGAACATTTGTCTATTTCATTTAATAAAAAAGTTAAAATATTTTTAGCATTTTTTTTAAACGTACATCATTTACCTTCTTACAGCATACAGTCACTGATGACTGTTGGGCTGAATATTGAAGAGTTGAAGTAGTAACACAGAGGGTTTTGCAGCATGCTTACACATCACACTTGATAATGGTTATAAGGATATTCTCTGGGCCAAGGGGAATTCGAACCGAATTTCCTGATCTAGTTAGTAGTAGGATAATTAAAATAAGAGATGTGTTTAAAAAAAAAAAGCTAACTTTAGCTAGCAAAAACTAGCTTAAAAAACTGAGCAGATGACTCCTTAGACTATTGCTATTGTTGTTATTATGATTATTATTAGTAGTTGTAGTATTAGAACATAACAAAGTGAATGTAATATTGTCATCATAGCCATACACAAGCATACAATTAAAGGATGCACATTATAAAATATAATTCTGTGGGAGTTGACTCACTTTAGGCACCAGCCTCAAGTTGTCATTTGAGGAAATGCAATTTTTTGTGCCACACTTTATTCTCCAAAACCAGAGGTTGCCACGTGGGCAAAGCTTAAATTGTACTGTATACACAACTCTCCCAACATTTAGCATGCACAAGATCTTAGGGCTGCTTTCTTATTGGCTGAATGTTTACAAAATAATCCAGCACAATATTTTAAGAAATGTTTGATCCATTTGTTGATTAAATGCTTTCCTTCGAGAATGTTTTTCGGTGAATATTTTGTTACCATAGCAGTCATTATTCTTAAAATATGTAAAGCAAATATGGCAAACATAGTTTAAATTTCCATTAAATTAGGATACATGAGTTACAGTAGCTAGAGGAAAAGAAGCTAGCTAGCAGAGAGGGGGGGACAACAGGGGCCATAATTTAGGAGTGACAGGCCTCTGTGTTAGCCTATAAATAAGCTGATTTGTGGAAGGCTGCGTGTCTGTCATTAGAGTGAGCTGGCCTGAGAAATGTTTGCAGAGAGGGACTTTAAATCTAGATGAAATCTTCCTTTGTGGCTGCACCTGCTTGTGATGGAGTAAATATTAGACAGTAAATGAATCACCGTGGATGGAGAAATGGTGGGAAGGTTCTTGTTGAATCAGGGCCCTTCGAGAGCTTCTACAGCCTGCGCTGTTCCGGAACAATAGCGAGAGAATGTAAATCACATGCAGAAGTAAACATATGACAGGACAGATAACAGTGAAGAAGGCTGGTTGGAAATGTCACCCTAATGAAAGCAATGGTTCAGCTCTCCTCCTTGTTTAAGTGCCATATATATATATACATATATGTATATATATATATATATATGTGTGTGTGTGTGTGTGTGTGTGTGTGTGTGTGTGTATTTTAACTGTGAATCATAACAACATTATGCTGGCCTAAGTAAATCCTTGTACAATAAATTACTTCCATGAGATGCATTTGCAATGCTAAGATGCCGCAGTAATGGATTCCCTCATTTGAGATAAATGAACTTTGATGGGAGGACAGCACATTTGACTCATTACTTTTGGTGGGTGGTAGGCAGTTTCTTTACATCAGAGTAATTATGCTGAGCTATTAGGCTTTGGAGGGACAGTGCAAGCCAGCCAAGCCACCTCTTTATGTTTGCAGATTCTAGCAGGGTGTGCAGTTGCTCCTCTCCAAGTCTAACAGATATGTTGTCTGTGTCAACCACCAGCATTCAGAGCAGTGACACAAGCGATGCTGGATGTCAAATGGTTCAGCCTCTATTGGACAGCATACATGCAAGAAATGTAGATACATACATATTGCACTTACACTTACTGCAATAGCTACACCCTTTTTGCACATGCTCTTTCTTATTCAGCTATTTATCAATAAGTAACTTATATGTATATATATATATGCATGTATATATTGTATGTATTGTGCTATTCCTTACTTTTTGTACTGTCTGTCTTTGTTACTGTTTGAACTGGAGCACTGTAACCAAAATAATTTCCCCTAGGGATCAATAAAGTATTCTGATTCTGATACATTACTTAATAGGCTCACACTTGGCTCTTTAGTGACCATTACTTGAAAAAGCTTAAACACGAAGATAAAACAGATTAGAGGAAAACAAATAGTTTTTGGGTTAAAATAGTCTCATTTTTTGTCAATTTTTTTGTTCTTTGTATCAAATGTGTTTAGACAGTGGAGCAGATTCTGACTTCCAAACCAGCAGGGGTGACTGTCATCCATGAGTATGAAAAAACTGGGAGTTTGAAAGATTCCACCAGGCGATTAATGGTGAACATCATTGTAGCTCATATGCGTGAAAAGGAAGGGTAAGAGGAATGATGTTTATTCTATTCATTTTTCAAACTGGTAAGAATCTCATCACAAACAACACTTCTGCTTTTGCAGGAGAACTCTAACTAAAGCGACAAAGGAGTTTCATGCACTTGGAATCGTGTCACTCTTCCCATCTTTGAAGGATCTTTACTCCAAAAAGGGATATGTGAGTTTGCACTGCAGCTGTAGTGTGAGATAAGACTTGCTCTCTCTCCAAAAAGGGATATGTGAGTTTGCACTGCAGCTGTAGTGTGAGATAAGACTTTCAAAGTGTGAGGTGTATATATATATTTATATACACTTTACTTTGTCTGCACTTTCTTTCTTTCTCTACGAGCATTTCTATGACATTCAGAGCATTTCTTTAGTGATGTGTCAAAACTGTGCAATGTTAATCCAAAACCACGACTGCATCACAAAACAGAGTAGAACTAAGAGGGCCCACATCACCAAGGATGTTTGGTTTCACTGATGACCAGCAAACATCAGGTCAACGTGTGGAAGCCAAGTCTCTTCTTCATCACACCATTGACCCAGACATAGTCTTCCAGAAGTTGAGAGAGACATTCTGCTCACACACTTTCTGTGTCCTGATGAGTGCTCTGACACATTTTAATGTGCTCTGCAGACAGGAAAGACTTGCTTCTTAAAGGACTTTAGTATCATAAACTGACCCTGAGACCCTGGAACAGAAGAGAGGACCTCTGCACACCCAATAACCACAATGTGAGTCTGTGTCAAAAAATGATTTTAATAAGTTTAATATGGTGATAATATTTAATATAAAATAATAACTATTTACAAAATGTACTGCTAGAAACTCAGGACAGTATTAGAGCACGTCAGCACTCAGGAGCATCATGTCTTCTTGAAACACCTGGAAACAAGGACAGAGGGACGTTACGCTATAACTACAACTATAGATCATTGTACTAATATACTGATGGATCAGTGTGTCTACTTAGACATGAAATTATGTTAATAGTGTGAAAATGAAATGTAATGAAGTGTGTGCCATCTTCCATACCAGTGGATACTGTAGCCTCCCCAAATAACCACGGCAACCAGCCCTATGGTAGCTACAGCAGACAGCGATGAAACCCTCAGAGCGTACGATGTAGCTGGAATGAAGAAAGTCTCTGTGACTAAGTGACACTTTGGAAACTGGGGTAAATTGAGAGTGTCATAATGGTGGATAAAATGATCTTGCTGACTGCTTCACAGTGCATTACCTATTACTTTAGCCCACAGGACACAGGAACTTTTTAAGGCCTAGGAGAGAAGACATGCAGCTAAAGTCCGTCGAACATATTCAGTCATTACTTTTTAACCATAGAATAGCTGCACTCACCGATTTCCACTGACTGACAGCCCGTAAAATGATATAATAGTTCTTGCCACTCTCCAGTGGTGCATTATAAAAGCCACCATAGAGCAGCCCATCTCCTATAGTAAGATTCATCTCTGTTCCAACACGATGGACTTCAAACTGAGCAGTGATGTACTCCGCTGGTGACTTAAGTGTGCTCAAAGGCGGCGCGATTGCAGGAGAGGAACAGTTAAACATCATAAACCCCTCTACAGGAAGCACAAACACTTGGTACAAACTGGGAGAAAAAAGACAAAATAATTAACTCTAACATGCAACATTTCATGATTTTCTTTGGAAAGGATTCAGAGATATCAGATATCTTTCCCCTTGCCATGCTGATACCTTATTAAGTCCAGTGTGTTGGGTGATCTGCGCAGACTCAACGTTGGTAGAGGAGTGTCAAATTCCCTGTAGTAGACAACTGGTCCTGGAGGTACTATTGATTAAAATCATATTATAAAGTATTTTGCTTAGTATAAAGGGAACAAAGGGAATAAAATGCACAATACTTTTATTTATTTATGAAATATATTTGGTACATTGATTGGAAATAATTTTATCAGACTACAGCAGAGTTGAGGTTAAATTGCTACCTGGTAGACTGGTGTTTGTGGTGACAGAGGCTGTGAACTTGGCAGATGTTGCAGTGATGGTGATGCTATAGTTTGTGACTGGAAGCAAGCCAAGGCAGAGCTTCAGCTGGTCTGCTTTGGAGCTCAGAAATCTCTTCCTTTTGTCATAAAAGGATCTCTGGTAGTCCCTGGATCCTGTGTAAGTCACCTAGAAAGTTTAAACCAAATGTGTCATGGAGAAAAGTCCTGGTTGCTAAAGAAGGTAGGTGATGTTTTATCTGACCTTGTAAACCTCTGTGTCCTCCTCGTACTTTTCTGCTTTCCACTGCAGGCAGCTTTCATTAAAAATAAGCAGGTGATTGATAGGTGGTTTGATTTCTGTGGATGAAAAAAAAAAGCATTTTGTGGGATATAATGAACATGTCAACCACAGTATTTACCCACTACAGGCTGGTCATGGACAGTCATGCAGTTGTTGTACTGTATTATTATCGTTATGGTCCTGGGTTTCAGAACCAGTGTTTAATTTGTGGATGTAATTCTTGTTTATTATTTAATGTTCCATTTGGTTCTTAGTTTGATTGTGGTTGATGATCACATTTCTTAGTATCCTGAGCCTCAATTATTTGTTTTGGTTAATGATTATTTCATTAATATTCTGCTTTAGGGTTATTTGGCACAGTCACTTATTTTCTTATTCTTTCTATTGTGTCGTATTATGTTAGTCTTTTGTCTCTGAGTAATTACTTCCTGTTTTATTTTACTTCCCTTTTCTCATCTTCCGTCATTATTTTCAGCTGTGTTTCCTTTCCCCCACCAACTCTTGTATTTATTGTTTCAGCTTCTCCTTGTCCTTTGTCAAGTCATCCCTCTAACTGTGGATCATCTAGTGCTGAGTTTGCTTGTGTTTGGAATTCTTAGTATTTCCTGATCTATGGATTCCTAGTTTTCTGTAAACTGCTCTGTGGACTCTGAACTTTGTTTAACACCTGGGAAATCAAAATCAAAGCTTACACTGAGTTTTCTCTCTGCCTCCTGTCTTTGATTCTGTAAAAAGCAACAATCCACAAAGCTTATGACAATTATACTGCACTCTTCCATCAGTTCTGTCTTCAGTTAATAAAAACCATGCTCCATTGGACTGAGATCAGCTGATTTACTTGGCCACTGAAGAATATCCCATTTCTTTGCAACATAAAGCTACGCTTTAGGTCATTATCCACATGTACTGTGAAGCACGATCCAGTCTGTTGTGCAGCATGTGGCTGAATCTGAGTAGAGAGTAGCGCCTTGTACACTTTAGAATTCATCCTGCTACTTTTATCAACAGTCACGTCATCAATCATACACTAAAGACCTGATTCCACTGGCAGCCATCCCATGCTAAAGCATTGGCTCTGTCGTGTTTAACAGATGGTGTGCTGTGCTTTGGAACATGAGCAGTTCCTTTCATTCTCTTCCCTTCTTTTCTCTTGCCATCATTATGGTACAATTTAATCTCTTTCTTGCATCAAAAGAATCTTTGCCAGAACCGATCAACCTCTATTTTATTTTATCAGACAAGGACTAATCTGGCCTTCTTGTTCTTGAGTGTAACCAGTGGTTTGCACCTTGTTGTAAACACACTATATTTCCATCCATGAAAGAATTTCTTGGTTGCAGACTTTAACAATCATTCACCTACCTCATCAAGAATGTTCTTATGTTGGCTAGATGTAATGAAAATTATGCAGTCAGCCACTTTAGTTGTCTTCTGCAGTCTTTCAGGCCTTTTGGCCAGCACAGTCCTTCTTTTTAAGAATACTGAGTATTCTGAAGGCCAGTAATCTGTTTTACCAATACCGGTTGTTGATCTGGCTATTCTGAAAGGTTTTCCTTTTTGGGGGCTTTTCAGCCTTGTTAACTTGCATCAGAATCTCTTTGGGCCATAATGAAAGATGCACTGAAAAGCTACTAAATACAAGTTAAACAATTGGAATCTCCTCCAGATGCCTGTAATGAAACAATGAGAACTGTGGCTTTAACTGGATGCTGACACTTACCTATGCATCTCAGAGTAGCTTTCTGCCACTCCCCGGAGCTCCCGCACACAGAGACGTTGCTTCCCCTCCAGCTGTGATATCCTGCCACGCAGCGGTGGATCACAACACTTCTATTATGCCACACGACCTCTGAGTTGGCAAGAAAAGGAGCTGGGCCACATTTAGCTGGAAAATAGCAAGAGTGAATTGTTTAATGACTCAGAAATAGTGCTATTCATTGTTTTTTCAGCATGCACCTAAAGGAAACCAAAATCCTAGAAATAAAGAAAAATATTAAGACCCACAGAGCATGCAGGGACAAACAAATTAATAAGCATGCAAACACATAAACAGCATGCTAATAATCAGAAATAATCATGCTCCCACTGCTGAACAGATACAGAGAGATCGTTACTCTACCTTTGCACTTTATAGATACTTCCCCCCACTCTCCTGATAGTGAACATGTTGACATATTATTCCCACTCTCCTGGTAAAATCCTTCCATACACTCATACAGCACAGTGCTGCCTGGTGTGCTGTTGTGGCCCCACAGGAGGTTAGCGTGGGGGAGGGCTACTGGGGGACCACAGCTTATTTCTGTCTGACACACAGACATGAATGAGCACAGACTGTGGGCTATAAAGAAATGCAACAAGACAGACACACTGTCCAATCCTCCATCAAACATGCCTTTTTTTCCATAACAACGACAACAACAGCCCCTGAACATGCATTACGTAATAATCTGCACCTTCACACCACAGATCAATATCCTCCCATAGTCCGTTTTCTCCACATACTGAGTAGTTTCTCAGGCTCCTGGTGTAATATCCCTCTGCACACTGGTAATAAACCACACTACCAATGCGTGATGTGCCATCCCATAACATTTTAGCATTGGGTTTTAAAACAGGCTCCCAACAGTTGATTTCTACAACAAAAAGAAAGCTGGTCATTGTGGGTGATAATAGCTAGATGTATGTTGTCAGCAATGCTTCAGTGAGTTTTGAATTGTGTATGGTTAAACTGCACAGTGGTTTAAAATGACTTTACAGTAATTAACACACAAGTTTATAGCTAAATGTCACCTTGACAAAGGATCGGTGCTCCATCCCATTTTCCACTGGCACTACAAACAGATACATTCCCTGTTCCAGCACTGAGATATCCAGGTTTACACAGATAAATAACCTTTGAGCCCACAGTGGAAATTTTATCCCAGTGCATGACTGAATTAGGGATGAGTGGGGGCTTGCCACAGTCAACTTCTACAGATGAAAAAAATCTATCATTTAACAGAAGAAAATAAACAGTTATTTGTGTCTCGAGAGCGCCAGAAGAAAGATGTTACCTTTGCATGAGATATCTGGTTTTGTCCAGTAACCATTAATTGTGCACACTGAAACATTGTTTCCGTCACTGTGATAAAATTCTTTTTTACAGTAGTAAATTACAGTGCTTCCTGGGGTGGAGCTACCTTTCCACACTTGTCCAGTGTGAGGCAGATTTGGAGGATTCCCACATAATATCTCTATGATGGGAAATGATACACAAGGGGAGTTATGGAGGATTATAAAAACAACTGAAAGCACAAGACATTTTAATTTACTTCGTAATAAGATATTGAACAATATAGTTTAGTTTGTCATAGCAAGAGAAACAGGTATAATCAAAGGGGACCGACCGGGTCTTAAAATCAAGTGACTTTTTAAAATTGACAATTTACTGAGTGCCACCTTTAAAAAATCTCTTTAATCTTGAATTATCTCATTAAATCTCTACATTAAACCTTTATTTATTTATTTGGGTTTTTTTTAAAAGTCCTTATGATGTTTTCCCGTCTTCCTCCTCTTAGCCTGGTTCCATCAGAGGCTTCTACCTGTTGAAAGAGGGTTTTTCTTTCCCACTGTCACCATGTGGTTAATATAAAGTGCCTTGAGGTGACAGTTGTTTTTTCGGCGCTATATAAAATTGAATTGAATTTAATAATTTAATGCCTGTCTTTTTTTCATTAGAAAACAATCCATTGTTTGATTACCTTGGCATGACAAAGTTGGGGATGTCCAATGACCATTTTCCTGACAGGTGGATACATTATTTCCTCCTTTGTTATAAAAGACGTCTTTACAGAAATAGAGCACAGTGCTGCCAGGGGTGGAGTTATAACTCCACACCTGCCCAGTGAATTCAATTACAGGAGGATTTCCACACAAGATCTCTACAAGGAACGACAACCAACAACAACGTAACACAAAGGATTCAGATTAATTCGGTCAGTCAATCATTTTCGATTAGAAATAGTCCTCATCAGCATGAAAGTACAGTGACAGTACCTCGGCAGAGCACAGATGGACCCGCCCACTGTCCAGCTGCAGTGCAGATGGAGACATTTCCTTTTCCAACATTATGATATCCAGAGTTACACTGATAAACCACCTCAGTGCCCATCCTTGTGCTTTTATTCCACAGCAAGCGTGAGTGAGGGACGGCAGGTGGAGAACCACAGTCAACCTCTGGGAGCCAAAGTAGTGACATGCTGCGTGAAAATGTTTTCACCTGAAAATCTCCAACAACTGCAATACTGATCATTTTCATAAACAAATCCTGTCACTGGCTAAAACTCTCTGGATGTTGGAAAAAACATGCAAATATTATTATTATTATTATTAAGCAAGTTTTTACATTAGTAAAAATAATGCATTAATACTCTTAACAAGTATTAGAGTAACTTGTTTCAGCAAAAAAAACCTAAACTAAACATTTTTTAGGTTTATAAGCATATTAGGAAGAAAATCAGCATTAATACACTCTCCAATGTGACACATGACTTTAAGGTTTTAGTCATTTCTGTTTATGGAATTTAACAAAACATTCAGCACCAGGGGGCAGCATTTCACCAGTGGATGTGTTCAGATATTTTCTGATATGTGCTGCTGTTTCTAATCTCTCGATTTCCTCATCAGGCTTATAGCTTTTTGTCTCGTTTGAAGACTTAGCCTTGGAAAATAAAGGATCTCTTCTT